ATATCATGTCATTATTTAATGTTGTTTTGTTTGTGTGTGTGTGTGTACAACGAAGTCTCTTTGAGAGGAAAATTATAATTTAAAGATCTTAATACCCCCTTATTGTTTAAGTACTTCACACAACTATTAAAGAATCCCTTTATGAAGTTACATGAGGCTACATTTACTGGTGTGCTTCCCTAGATGATGTAAATAGTCTAAGTGTCATGTTAGGGGGGCATTACGGACCTCAGGAGTCCGCCCTTGGAGGCTTGGAGAGCGGATAAAGAGAGGTGTATTTACTGGTGTTGAGCCCTGGATGATGTAAATAGTCCAAGTGCAATGGAACTCAGGAGTCCGCCCTTTGAGGCGTTGTTAACATTAATGCTTTTTGCTTTTGTTTTTGTTACTAAGATACTTTTTAGCCTTATGATAGGATGAACTTAAGCTGTAGTCAATAAAGACATGTTTAATAGAGTGTGGCTGTTAGAGAACATACCTGCGCAGCACTCCACCACGTCTTGGCTTTGGCTTCATGGCCTTCACTGTCCTCTCCCTTTGAGTTTTTTCAAAGGCTGGGATACATTTTTCCAACTGATCACTTGTTACCTGGTGACAAACATATGGTTATATAACCTTAAAGAACTAACAAAAAAGAATTAAGTATTTGCAATGCATAAACATAGAAGTTATCACTGTCATATTATGATCACTTAATGTAAGTAAGTTTAAGTAAAACTAACACAAGTCAATATTATTCACCTGGGCATTAGTGGGCTTGAGGGTCTCAGGGAGCAAAGTGACTTGTCTCTGTATTTGAGGATTCTCAGTGCAGGCACTAACAGGAAGCTGCTGTGCATTAGTGGAGAGTCCTCTGAAGGCAGCTGTTATTTCATTCACACACTCATCTGTTACCTGCTGACTCCTCATAGTAAGTCTAGCCAAGTCAGCTGTTAAGTTGTCCATACCATCGCTTGATAACTGGTAACTTTTGATTGACAGTCCAGCCATGGCAGCTGCCAACTCGTCCATATAATTCTTAAGAACGTGGTGACAATACTACAAAAAAGTGTATATATTAGGTCAGTTAACCTTGAAGAGCTAAACAGTTCAAGTGGTAAGTAACTAAGTATTTGCAATGAATAAACATAGAAATGATCACTGTCATATTATATAATCACTTAATATGGAGATAAGTAAAACTGACACAGACAGTTTAAACTGCTTGTTAAAACGCTATTGCTTATTGTGTTTTCTCAGCACACTAACATAAATAAGGCTGTATAATATAAAAAACTAGAAAACGATATAGTATTTTCAAGTCTTACTTTAGTATGGTAAAATTAAGAATAAGTCACATTAAAGTGTGTCATGATTTTCCGTAAAAAAGTCAAGTATAGTTTGTCAAAAGAATATGAAAAAAAATCATTTTGTAGAGTAGTATGTTGAAAATCTCAGTGTTTAACTGAACACACCTACATGTGATAACGCCTCGAACAAAGGGGTAATTAGCATACAAAGGGGGGTCACTAGCATCAGTGGGGGAAAGGTGCTACGGGAATGAACTTTGAGGAGGGGGAACTTGTAAGAATTTCCAGCTTTTGAAGACAATTATATGGTACCCGTCCTTACAGCTAAACAAATCCTATGCCAGGTATTCAACAGACCACAAGAAGCACAAGAAGTCCCAGAAAGGATTACATTCAGAGCTATTAATGGTGAAACCGAAGAAGAAGCAAAGCAGATTATAATCGTTGCGGGTGAAAGGATAGAGAATTTGCAAGTGATGTTAATGCACTTATCTGATATAAAAAATGCATTCATTTACTTCCAAGAGACCCCTAAACATCTACTTGGGCAATGTGAATTGAACGATAAACCGATCACTGTAAATGAAACGCGGAGAGAGGCAGCAGTGCAAATCGTTAAGTCTATTACCTTGTATGCACTACGACATTAACTTGGTCAAATGTAATATGTCTTTCTGAAGATGTGGCGAATGGTGTGTTTTTCAATTAAACAACCATAACAAATGAAAATGTGTTTTATTTTTGCTTTCATATATAGGAATAGTATTAACTCCTCTGACTAGACTGTACTAAAATAAGACGTTTCACTGTTAAATAAAAATGGAAGTAGAAAATCGAGATAATGATGAGGCTCGTTATGTATCCAGTAACTATGAACAGCAGTTTGAAAATGTTATTTAACCCTTTAACTCTAATTGACAAATCTAAAATAGCCTCTAGCTTATCTATAAGTTTGTGATTTTAACACTTATTCACTGACACAAGGCAGATTATGGCTTTTTTCTCGTGCCAAGATACTTTTAGACACACTCTGAGGTATGCAAAACCTTAAAACTAGAAAATGAAGTACATTGTCTGATTAGATTTTTTCGTAAAGACTGTTTCTCTAAAAGGCAAGTTTGTGATTTTTAACACTTATTTACTGACACAAGGCAGATTTTGACTTTTTTTTTTTTCTCTTTTCATGTGTTACCAAGATACTTTTTAGATACACTTTTATGTATGCAACACTTAACAAAGGGGTATAATATGAAGTACTTTGTAAGGAATGGGGGTTTCTTTAATACCTCGTTTTTTATTTTCTAAAAAACACTTGTACAGTTAAATAATGTAGGTTTTCTCTGATATTCTAGTTATTTTCAGCTACCAAGATATTTTTGTTGATACACTTTTATGTAGGAACATTTGGCAACTGGTAGAATGTCAATTATTTTGTAACAAAAATGTATTTTCTTAAAGACTGTGACTCTAAAAGGGAAGTTGGTGATTTTAACACTTCTATTTTTCCCCCGTTGTCTTTCACTTACTGTTTTGATACAGTTTTATGTATGACAACTTTACAACTGGTAGAAAGTTAAGTACTTTTTCTTTCATATTATTTTAACACAACATTACTTTTTTCATATTTTTCAACATACTGTGATATATATATATATATATATATATATATATTTTTTTTTTTTCTCTCCATTATATTTTTGAATATACAGCAAACTCCTGGACTACTATCATCACCACCATTGTGGACACCCACATATTGCAGTACTACTGCTGCTGATGTTACTCCTGGGGCCAAGACGTCTCTGTTTCTGAACATAGTGAAATCGGAGTTGGTTGATATTCTGGAGAGCGTGCTGCATCGGTATAGAGAAGAAATCTGCAATGGATGTCGAGTCAGCCACCTCAGCCAGAGGCAACACGATTGTCTGAATGACATTCCAGAATATTTCTTCAGAAACAATTACAACGCGTTAATGAAAAGACTTTGGCTCGCCGACTTCATTACTGTGATTGACCAGAGTCTTAATGATAAAAACATTTACACGGCTGAATGGAGGATCCAAGGCGCTTCGGAGGCTTTTATGCACAATCTCAAAAACTGCAGACGCCTCAAGGAGAGACTTGAAAAGATCCATGCCGAGCTGGATGGAGAAGAAGAAGACTAATAACCAGCGGTTGATTGAAGCCAGGGATTTTTATTTTTTATTTTTTTCCGATACTTTGACTTTTCTTTAAAGTAAAATAAAAAAAAGGGATAACTACTATGGAAAACAATCTGTATATATTTATCAGAATGCAGTCAATACCTGTTTAATAAGTGTGTTGTTGATGACGATTGAAAACAGAATGAGTAGTTATCCCCGTGTAAACAGAATGGCTGAAGTTTGTAAACTAGAAGACATTTTGGATATCGTTCATTCTGGCAGTACTATTCCGGGTCATGGGGAAACGATTATAAACCAAACATTTAAAGTGGTACTGGAATCTTCATTTTCCGAAACATTCTGTAACATTAGTCAAGTCATAGTATAGTTTGACAAAAAGATCTTGAAAAAGTCATGACATTGTGTGTTGAAATGGTTTTGAATAAACACATCAGTATTTAAAAAAGTAAAATTGTATCAAGTGCATCAGACAACTCAAATTACTCCATTTGAACCATATTATAAATAAGTAAAGAATGGTCATAGTATATAGCAGGGCTGTTTAATAGTTTTCTGTGTTCTGTGTTTTGTGTGTCAGTGTGTCAGTGTTGCATTGTTTCAGTGTTTCAGTGTTTCAGTGTTCTGTGTTTCAGTGTTGCAGTGTTTCAGTGTTTTGGGTATCAGTGTGTCAGTGTTGCAGTGTTGCAGTGTTTCAGTGTTTTGTGTGTCAGTATTTCAGTGTGTCAGTGTTTCAGTGTTTCAGTGTTTATGTGTTTCAGTGTTTTCAGTGTTTTGTGTTTCAGTGTTTCAGTGTGTCAGTGTCTCAGTGTTTCAGTGTGTTTGTGTTTCAGTGTTTTCAGTGTTTTGTGTTTCAGTGTTTCAGTGTTTTTGTGTTTTTGTGTTTCTGTGTTTCTGTGTTGCAGTGTTTCAGTGTTTTCAGTGTTTTGTGTTTCAGTGTTTCAGTGTTTTTTGTGTTTCAGTGTTTTTTTGTGTTTCTGTGTTTCTGTGTTTTTGTGTGTCAGTGTTTTCAGTGTGTCAGTGTTGCAGTGTTTCAGTGTTTTCAGTGTTTTGTGTTTCAGTGTTTCAGTGTGTCAGTGTTTCAGTGTTTCAGTGTTTCAGTGTTCTGTGTTTCAGTGTTGCAGTGTTTCAGTGTTTTGGGTGTCAGTGTTGCAGTGTTTCAGTGTTTTGTGTGTCAGTATTTTAGTGTGTCAGTGTTTCAGTGTTTATGTGTTTATGTGTTTCAGTGTTTTCAGTGTTTTTGTGTTTCAGTGTTTTAGTGTTTCAGTGTTTTGTGTGTCAGAGTGTCAGTGTTTACAGCCTTTCTTTGCTCTGATCAATCCCCAGGGATCCTCCCCTGGAAGGAATATAGCAGGATTATTAACGCGTTAACTTGACAGCCCTAATAAAATATGTATATCCTATATATACACAATCAACAGACACATGTATACATATGCACACATTAAGATAAAAGCACAACAATCAATATATACAAAATAACAGTCACTTCAATATCTTTGGGAATGTACAAAACAAAGTTTAGTATCTGAAAACAAAGAGTAAGCATCTCAAAATAGTGATGTTTTAATGAACTGCCTACCCACGTTGCATATTGGTTGTGAGTTAAAATAGACACCCTTCAGATAAACCTAATATCCATCCATCCCTCCGTCAGCTGACCAGCTCCAGGATGGCGGTGAGGAAGCACTCCATCTTGGCTCTGGGTCACCTGGTTCCCTGCTGTAGCCCCGCCCTCTTCTCCCAGCTGACTGAACACCTGACCAATGAGCTCGCAAAGGCCCCGCCCGTTTCCATGGCGAGGACGTACATCCAGTGCCTAGCAACCGTCAGTCGTCAGGGCGGCCATCGAGTCGGTGAGATCTGCTGCCACGCTCACGTGATACTAGATTTAAGGACAACACATTGGTTTCCTGACTGAGGAAGGCCATTTCTGCACGTGGAGTAACAAAATAAAATGAAGACATTTAGATTTGTTGCCTTGTGATGAAAGACAAAGAGAATATTCTGGTCATTTCAATTAGAAAAGTTTAAACAATGAGTTATTATCTCAAAATAATGACATGGTATCTTGGTAATGATGAAATACCTCAAACCTAATACACAGTATCTTAAAATAGTGACTTAGTATCTAAGAAATAATGACTTAGTATCTTAAATGAATGAGTTAATATACTAAAATAATGATTAGATATCTAAAAATAATTGTTTAGCTTCTCAAAATTATCATGAGACATTTCTCAATAATGACTCAGTAGTCTAAAGTACAGAACGCTTTTGCATAATGATTTTAAAGTATCTTTTTCAATCACACGGCTAAGTTATCATCTTTTTTCCCCCGCACCTTTTGGATATCAGTTTCCATCTCGATTACTAACATACTTTTATTTTGAAAAGATCTTCATTTTGACATTTTCATTCTCAATTTACGAAAAAAGAACACATCTAGAAACTCATAAGCTTTGGTGTGTGTGTGTGTGTGTGTGTGTGTGTGTGTGTGTGTGTGTGTGTGTGTGTGTGTGTGTGTGTGTGTGTGTGTGTGTGTGTGTGTGTGTGTGTGTGTGTGTGTGTGTGTGTGTGTGTGTGTGTGTGTGTGTGTGTGTGTACTTAGAGAAGTTAATCCCGATGGTGTTGAAGTTCACGGACGTGGAGGACGACGAGCTGAGAGAGTACTGTTTCCAGGCCTTTGAAGCCTTTATACGCAGGCACACACACACACTGACCTTCATGTTGTTTCCGTTGATTGACAGCTGTCCAAAGGAGATGTTGCCACGGTGACAAAGCTTTGCCTTAAGTTCATGACCTTTGACCCGAACTACAACTATGACGATGAAGAGGAGGAGGAAGACAGCATGGACGTGGAGGAAGGGCTGGAGGAAGGTGTGTATTCATTTATGTTTTGTGCTGATTCAAATACTGCTGGGTATTACTAAAACTTAAATAAAAACTGTTTCTCGATTTATAAGTATGTTGCATTTAACTGATGAAAGAATATTTAATGTACTTACCATATATACATGTATGATTACAAAAGACTAACATCAGTACAATGTTTTCAGTAAAGAGCTTATAAGCAAAATATGATATTAATTTGTTTTTATTTTGATAACTTTTAATACAAGTTTGACAGTAATCCGTGTTCAGTCGTGTCTTGAGGTTATATTTGACTGAGGACTCAGTTTGAATGATTTGTTAGAAAATCAATTGTTACCTTATTTACTTTACTTAGTAACTTGTAATCTGAAAAATACTCTAAAGTTCCACAAATGTGGATGTAAGTAGAGAACTTCCAGCACTGCCTTTCAGTCAGTGTTAGTCCTAATTTTCAGGTATTTGGATCTTAAAAAGAAAGTCTCATGTCTGTATCTAATAATGTACAATACAAAAACCCATAATGCATTGTTTTGTGGGTCTGTTCAGATTGATTGAGATAGAAAATGTAATTGAATCTCCTCGGCCAATGAGAAGTGATGTAAACACAATGAGAGAAAAGATGAATCCATTAAAAATAACCTCTCTTCTCTGGACTCAAGAGTCAGAACCCTACAATATTATCTCTGTATAGAAATCAAGGTAATTGGTCAAACATATCTTGATATACTTTATATTATTTGAGTTCTCGCCAATGATAAGTGATGGAAACACAGTAAAGATGTTCTGTCTGAGTCCATTGAAAAATAGCCGTCTATTTGTAAGCATACCTGTCTGTACCGGCTACCCAGGGGAAGGTCAGAGAATTTAAATGAATGTCTGTATTTATGTATAATTTGCCAAGACTTAGAAGGAAAGGGGTAATGTGTGTTTGTGAGCAATAACGTGTAGATTTGAGTGGACTCAACTGAGGCGGGTGTGATTTTTATTTACATCTCCATGTATGATATATATTTGTGGAATAAATAGAAAGTTCTAAAAAAGAATAAAATAACCATCTCTCCTCTATTCTCCAGAGTCAGACGATGAGTACAGTGACGATGACGATATGAGCTGGAAGGTGCGTCGCTCCTCCATCAAGTGTCTGGAGTCTCTGATCGCGACGCAGCGGGACCTCCTGCTGAGCTTCTTCTCCTCCGTCTGCCCCGCCCTGCTGGCAGTGGCGCCTCCAGAAATCTTTCATAGGGGTGGCCAAATGGGGCCACTGAAAATCTTGGGGTGGCCCACCAAAACCAATAATTTAATTGTTGTAAAAGTATAGACTAGATGAAAACAATGGCAAAGAGAATCACCTACTGATATACTTTGGTTTCTTATTTTACATTTTCTGATACTATTCATCTGAAGTGAATATAATAAGGATAGTTAACATTTTACTTCAAACAACATTTAAAAGAACCTTGTTTTGTGTTATGTATACATGTGTTAGGGGATTTATTCTTTTGTTTTTTTGTACATGCTAGTTGTTCTTTCCTTTTTAAAAAGACAAATACAGCTTAATTTAAACAAGTTCCTTTATTGTAAGGCACAACATGTTCAGCATTCTCAACACATACAATACACAACATGTTCTTCAGTTATATTATGTCTCTAGGTTATAAATTGTTTTAGAACAAAGCTGTTTGTGTCACACTGGGATCAAAGATGATTGACATGGCTTTATTAAATCAAGTTTTAAAACATGACTATTTTATTTCAACAGGACCCAAAAACACAAGGGGTATAAAATGGTAAATAAATACTGTGATTGAACACAAAAACACCATCTATTATTGACCTTTATACAGGGATGCAAACTTGTCACCTTTCGGCGAAATTCGCCGTTTTGAATCCAAAATAGGTCGTTTGTGTGATTGAATATTTTTGGGGTATGGAGGGGGTCTGGGACCCGGAGTAATCTGCGGCCGCGAGCTGTTATGTGCCATCATGACACGCATGGTGTTCTTTTTTTATATATTATAATGAAGCGCGAGCTGTGTGCTCGAGTCTTCCTGCCTGTCGGCTCTGCTCATGGATGTATAATAAGGCTCTGCTGCTCCGGGATGAGGGTCTAGCTTCAGCAGCTACATTACCTACGGGTGCGTTAGTTAATATTAACTGTGCGGTCCGGAGTCACTGTGGCACAGACTGGACCGCTGGTGAACAGCTGTTAGAACGAGCCGTTCAGGTGTTCAGAGCAGAGCTCCCTGTTGGAGCGGCAGAGCGTGATGTGCACTGAAAAGTGTTTCTGTCACAATATTATTTAATGAATCGTTGAGCTAGCTAACTAGCATACATTGTCACTATCTGCTAACGTTAGCTTTAGTCTTCGTTTTCAAATAGTTTTTTTCATAGGCTATAAACGGAGGTGGTATAAGTATATATCTTGTACTTGAGTAAAAGTAGAAGCACTCAGATCTTGTACTTGAGTAAAAGTAGAAGTACTCAGGTCTTGTACTAGAGTAAAAGTAGAAGTACTCAGATCTTGTACTTGAGTAAAAGTAGAAGTACTCAGATCTTGTACTTGAGTAAAAGTAGAAGTACCAGAGTGTAGGAATACTCTGTTACAGTAAAAGTCCTGCATTCAAAATGTTCCTCAAGTAAAAGTAGAAAAGTATTATCATCAAAATATAGTTAAAGTAGCGACAGTAAAAGTAGTCATTGTGCAGATTGATCCATTTCAGAATAATATATATGATATGTTTTATAATGATTGATCATGAAAGTGTTCTCAAAGCTGGTAAAGGTGCAGCTAGTTTGAATGACTTTGTATACTGCAGGTTAGCTTGTGAATTTACTCCAGGTGGAACTAAAGTCTGATTTAACACTTGATTATATTTCACATCATTCATCCAGATCTGTGAAGTAACTAAAGGTATTAAATACATGTAGTGGAGTAAAAGTACACCATTTACCTCTGAACTGTAGAGGAGTAGAAGAACAAAGTAGCAAAACATTGAAATACTTAAATAAATTTATTTATTATTAAGTATCTCAAAATTGTACCCAAGTATAGTACTTGAGTTTATGAACTTAGTTACTTTACACCACTGGCTATAAAGACAGAAAGACTAAGCCTTGAACAGAGGCATGAAAATACATTTTCAAAATGCTCAACAGTGCTGCCAAAATTATAAACTGACTGCTACACAATTCAAACAAATGCTTTTATACATTTCTATTAGATGTGACTCTTTGGCGTTTCTGTTATAAACTGCTTTAGTTGTTCTGACTGCTAAAATCCTCTGTTATTCCTCATTTTAAAGCCGATATTCCGTGGGGTCGGGGGGCTCGGATCCTTGTCACCTTTTTCATACCTGATGAGTTTGCATCCCTGTTTATAGCAAATTCAAAACATTTACTATATAAATGATACAAAACACCACCTTTTACTATTAGACAGAAAATAGGTGACGACGAGACATATTTCTATTTTTTTTAGATTAGGCCACTGTGGTGAGAGCTTGTATTCCATTTGTTTTGAAAATGTATATTTATACTTTATAAACAAACTGGTTACCCTTTTTTTAAATTAGCATACAGAACATTATGAAAACAAACTTGACTAATGGTCGGCTCAGAACACAGAAGAGAAAAACTGCATAGATTCTCGTTTCATTTTGAAGGAGCTGCAGACCTAAAGTGTGTAGAAGACTTAAATGATTACAAAGGTCACAATCACATTAATAAAACGGTACTAAGGTTTTAGTTTTGAACCGTCTTCGATCCCCCTGAAGTGTTCGTGGGAAGAACTTCAGGTGTGGCTGCTTGGGCCGCTCTGCTCTTGACTCGGAGATGTCTGTGAAGAAATAAGAGGCAAAATCAGTTATTCTGATATTAAAATAATGATTATAAAACGAGTAGCTAACCCCTCTCCATAGTAATTAATTACAGATATGATCTGTTATATATGACAATTCTATTCAAACTCAACTACCAATAACCATGAATCAGAATGCTTTAAGTGTTTATGTCATGACTTGTGTGCTCTTCCTCCTCCTCTCCCTCATCTTTCTCCTCTTCTTCCTCCTCCTCCTCATTAGCCCTATGCTGCTGCTCCCATGCCAGCTCTGTCTCTCCTTTACTCATCTTCTTCTTAAAATAAGAAGAGATGTCTGTTGACTTTCTCTTCATTTTCTGCAAATTGACATTACACACACGACGCTGAAGTTGGCTTCCGATTCAGAGCTTCCGATTCGGCAGTTAAGGGGAAAGTTAAGGGAAATTTAATTTACAGCGCTGAGCGAACAATCCTCGTGTTTGAACCTCTTAAATCGCTGCATAGCCGATTTATTTGGACTGGATTATCCCAGAGAGTCTAAAGATTCTTTATAACACAGTTTCAGATTTGTGAAACCTTAATTCTATTTGTGAAAATACAAAAAAGGGAGATTTCAGTGCTTTTTTTACATGTAGACCACATTAGACCAGGTCCTGATCTAAAACCACTATACCTAGACTCATCAAATCTGGACTGGATTATCCCAGAGAGGCTAAACATTCTTTATAACACAGTTTCAGATTTGTGAAACCTTAATTCTATTTGTGAAAATACAAAAAAGAGAGATTTCAGTGCTTTTTTGCCTGCTGCTCCAGGTGAGGCTGCAGCAGCTCTGTGCCCTGATGTGAGCTACATCATCTGTCTTTTGGAGTATGTGGTGTTCTAAGGCTCTGTGCCTGTTAGCATGTTAGCCTAGCTCCTGCTGGGTGACAGACCCTGCAGTTTGTGATGGACTCTTACCGCTGATGCACTGGCAGAAAGAACATAATTGCGAGGCCTGGTCTCCTGAAAAGCAGCTGCAGCCTACAAACAAGAGCAGGGAGGAGGAGACACATGTTGGCACAGTCATGCATTACAATCATAAAGCAGAACAACTAAAATAGGACCCAAATGCAGTAAAAGGACTAAAAGGTCAGGTAACCAAAAGCGAGCTTTATTTTCCTGAATGAAAAAAGAAAACAAGGAACAACTTAACATAACAAAACCGAAAATGAAAACAACAAACCAAAACCATGACACTCAGTCCAGTATGCAGCTGTGAGAGGGTCTCCATCCTTTAATATCTGAGCAGAGGCCTTTTTCACAGACACATGTAGTTCAGCTGTCGCTGGACTCCACTCAGGTTTTCACAGAGCTGAAACTCAATCTCATCTACAATCAGAGAACAGACTACGTTTAGTTTATTTAAATCCCAACTCAAAACATGGTTAGTGAGGAATCAGCTCTGAAACACTGACACAATCTTCTGCTCCTTACAACCCACTGTCTGTGTTTTAACATGTTCTTTTGTTTTGTTTTATTATTCTGTCTTTTTATTTATTTAAGTATTCCAGTAATGTATGTTGCATGTTTTAATTTGATTGTATTTACTTGTTTAAATGAAATGTGTTTTAGGTTGACTTATCAAATCTGTCCAGGGACAACAGATGAACAATAGCCTCTTGGCTAACTCTGGCACGTTTACAGCAATGTTAATTAATGTGCACTGTCCCTGTTAAACAAATGAATAAATAAATAAAAATAAAAATAAGTGTATGCTCCTCATTTAGGTGATAATTATTTAGCTACTAAGTTTTCGTATCTTAAATACTGTTTCATAGCAAACAAATAAATGAATGAAATGTTAAAGGAATTCAGGTTCATGAGATAAAGAAATAGGCTAACCTTCAGTCTTTCATCCACTTTGAACAGCTTCTGCTGCTTTGTCCTAAAGCAAAATATGAATAGCAAAATATGAATAGCAATAGCAATCTCATACCATTGTTACCAAAGTGTTATCTTCTAATCTTGTAATGTCTTTCACATTCCAAGCAATCCTAGTACTCAAGATGACATACTGTAATTAGGCAAACAAAGCTTGTTGCTTAAAGTAAACTTGAACAATGCTAGTTATAGACTACATTTAATTTCCTGTTTACATGTTTTGCCTGCAACTGTAAATACATTAAGTTTATATAAGTATACCTACTTATCTGTTCAATTTTTATTTGCAACAAAAAATTAGAATAACTTTAAGAAGTAAAGACTTTATTCTTCCTTAATTAGCTGTCCATACTTACCCGGACCATAACAATGTGGCCAACACGGGAGTTAGCCCCAAGTTTTCTTTGGATGGTCGTCTCTTTGATGACGGTATCTCCTCTTCCAGGCTTTTCATTTTCTTCAAGGCCATCATAGAAATGCCAGCTTCTATCTAAACCCAATTTGTGGAATGCCACAAAGTGATTTGCAGGCCCCAGGTGATATGTCACAGCAGCTGGCTCATACCTTTGTGACAAGAGTATTGTACAAAGACTGTGTGAAATAGCAATATAAACAAATGGAACAAGTTAAAACAGACAGCAACATTTGAGCACAGCCAAAGACATGACTGTATGTAAGTCTTACATTCCACCAAGAATTGTAACCAGATGTGGCAAGGCTGTAGGATGATGCTTGTTGGTTAGCTTCCCCTGGTTTATTACTGAAAGTAATAAAATACACGGCTCTCCATGCGCGAAGACACGCTGCACTGTTGTCTCCTTAAAAGTGCATTGTTTCAAACCTCTGTTGAGATAAAAGGAAAAATAAATAATAATTGGCTTAATAAAATGAAATGATAGACCCAACATACATAAGACCTCTATAGCATTGAAACTTTAACAAATAAATCCTGATCACCCTTGATTGCAAGGCTTGAAATTGGTTCAGTGAAGTTGTAAACATATGGGTGATATTGTCCTGTTGCTTTCAATTGTGTTAACTTCCTACGACTAGGTTCAGAATATTTCAATTTTCTTGATAACATTTGAATGTTACAGGACAATGGTCACATATCTAAGTGATTCATCAAGGTCAGCGAGGGATATAGTTGGTCTTCATACCTCAATCATTTATTTACAATGTAGATCAATGGAACGGTTTGGCATATACATTTTACAATGAATTATCTGAAATACATATGGTACTTACCTCTTGCAAGGAAGAACTTGTAGGGACTCATTCGCCCACTTGTCGACATCAGCCTGTATGTTCCCAAAATCTGCACATCTTGAAAGGAAAACCTTTTGCCTTTCCCTTGCATCTGACAATGTTTCAGACAGTTTATACTTTTTTCTCTGAGCTGTTGGAGTAGGGGGGCTGAAGTACTTCGACTTTCTTTTCTGCGTTTTACTTCGCTTCCTCCATGTCTCCTCTTGTGACAGAGGAAGTGTCTCTGGTCCCTCAGATTGTCTTTTGTCTTCAGCGTATGTTTTGGAAGGAGGCACCTGTGTTTTCATTATTTTAACGCCCTTTAGTCTTCCAACCACAAACTCTTGCTGTAGCTGGAGAAAGTCTCCTGCTCTTCTGTGCAATTTTGATGACAGGATCACTTTTTTTGTTGTGCGGAACCAGTTCTCTACAACAGCATTACTGTCACGGGTTTTGCCAAGATCTTTAAGCATCACACCTGTCCAAAGAGGCACAGTACCAGCATAATGGAGAATTATTTCCACAAGTGTCTCACAATAATGAGGATTTGGCTGGCCTGCTCTGTTTGCGTCATCCTCCTTCCCTGCTTCCTCCTGTGCTTGTGTGACCACCTCTTTGATAGGAGCAAAGAAAGGGGATGATTTTGTGAGAGATCTGTGCATGTCGTCAAAATCAGCAGGTGTGTGGTCTTCATCTTCATTTTTTAAATGGATATTTTCTGACTTCTGTGTCCGTATGGCCTCCTGCAGTGCTGAGAGATGTTTCTTACACCCATTAGTTTCAGTCTTTGATGAAAAAACATGTACCATACACCTTGAAATTGACAATACCTGGCCAAATACAGTAGCATTTTGAAGGAGGGCAAAACAGTACAAAAAAAATAGTTTTGTCTCCTTTCTGCACTGAACCTTGGACAACTTCATACTGATCAACTTCAGCATGTGAGCAGCACAGAGGTGTATTACTGTCAGCTGCACTGACCGCTGCCCTTGGCACACCTGAAAGCAAAGCTTGAAATATTCCTGAACACTGGTGATGTTAAATGCCTGAACTACTGCATGGATCATGGCCCAACTGAAATCAGTTTCGACTTTTTGGGGCTTGAAGTGTTTCGAAAACAACTTGTAGTAGTCGCGACCCAGGCAAGTCAACCAGTGCAGGATTGTTGCAGTACTCTGATCAGATGTTAGCATTTCTGCCACAGGAACCACTGTTTTTGTTGTTGACTGGCATGACATACAAAGAGCATAGTAAAGTACTGATTGGCTGGATGGTTTTGCAACTACACTTCCAGTGGCATCTAAATACAAGAAACAACGCTTATTCTTTTGTAGGTCTTGCAAAATATGAAGCTGGGTCTCAGAATAGGAGTGAACAACAAAAGGAGACATTGCAACATACTGCATTGTACTGTGCTTGATTTTTGAGCTGGGATTTTCCACATCCTGCTTTTTTTGAATTTCCAAGCACTCCACAAACACATCCTTATCCAAGCGATTCTCAAGATTTTTTTCACTTGATATTTTCTGCAGAACTGTGACAGACTTTCCATCAGTGTGGTTCCCTGCCAAAAGTTTGTCTTCATCTGCTCTTGCAAGTTTTTTTGTGTGGACAAGCATGGGAGAAAATTCTCCAAGTTGTCCTTTGAGGTCTTCACGCTCAGGTTGACGACAATGTCGCGTGTGTTGTTCCTCACAACTATGGCAGACCTTGCCCTGCACTGTGACATGTACATTTATATCACCTGTTGTAAGATTAGGATCTTCTGCAATTGTAAGAAAAGAAGTGGTACAGCCTGTGAATTTACACACAGCCTTACCCCTCCAAAAGTTCCCTTTAGCTTTCCGACTCTTTATAGATTTGATTTTATTGCTTTTGAATGAAAGGACACAAAGTTAGTTGACAGTGCCTATTTTACGGCTGATAATGTCAGTCCAACCTTTCTTCAACACTCTGTATGCTTCCCTATCATCAGGTTGAATTGCAGACCATTCCTCCCTCGTCAGGGTTACAGAAAAATATGGGGGACAAGGTTGCAGATCTCTTCCAATGGATAACCTCCTTTTTATGTTGTCCTTTTTTCCAGAGTCTGTTGCCTTGGGATCTGTGCTACAGGAAGGACAGTGCCATGGGGATATGGCAGCAATGTCCTCCACACTTTGGTAGCCAATGCAAACCGGATGAAACCAGTCCTTGCAGATGCTACACTGAGCATATGGCTCACTGGCATTATTTGGTTGTTTACAAACACAAAATAAGGTGTCATCTGGATACTCAATGCTATTTGCCTCAATACATTCAGCCATTTCATCTCCACTGGCTTTAGCCATCGTAATCACTTCGTCCTCATGTGTCTTTTTTACCACGTCTTCCATGCATTGCAATGTTTTTTCCTCTGCTTTAGAAACATTCATGTATTCACCATCATCACCATTAACCCTGGTATCATTTGCACTGTTCCTACTCATAACACTTTGTTCATTTTCATTTTCTTTATCATGTTCAAATGTCTTCCCCTGATGCAATCTGTCCTTGCACATAGTAATATTTCCAGCCCCACTATTTTCTGCCCCTTGGACTCTGTCCCTGGTCTGAGCATTGTCTTCAGATTCAACACTGTCTGCTTTGGGGCTTCTGTTTCTTGGGTCTCTGGTTATGTGATTATCACCACTTTCTGCAATGTTTTCTGCAGTACTGGGATCCATTGTGTCTTTTTCAACTATTTCTGTCTCATCTTGGCCCTTATCCTGATCTGCATCCTTAATCTCAGACCTGGTGTCTCCGTTTTCCTCATCCTCATTCTTTCTGGGTCCTTCCTTACATTTTTTTTCCAAAGTGTCACTTTCCACTCTTACTCCACAGTCACTGTCCCTCTTATTGCCATTATTTTTCTTCTGCCTCAACAGTGCTCTTGTTCTGATACACTTTCTGTCACAGTTCCATACAGTGTACAGCCACTTCTTTTTATTAACAGCCTTGTCATCAAATATTTTCCCAGCCAAGGTTTCCCACATGGGGCTGTTCCATGGGATTTTTTTTTTAAGATGAACAAAAGCTGCCAGTTCAGCAACTCTCTTGTCCTCTCCTCCTGACTGTGTCCATAAATCTGGACTGTCTTTGCCCTCTTCTTAATTTATCCATTTTGTTTAAACCTGACAAATCAAAGAAAAATATAAATGTCTTGTGATAGCTTCCAGTAGTAATTAATGCGTGCACCCAAACAGTTTGTTTTAGCAATTAATTAATCTGTACATTTGTTTAATTAACAAAAATGTTCGTAAATAACACTTGTCAGGGTTCGATTTGCAAGGGGGATGAGGGGCTCTTAATATCCCTGCCTCAGATTAATTATTTAACGGCACGTTGTGCTATTTCCTTTTGAAATATGTTCTGTTAAATATTGAAGTTTATAAATAGGCTATGTGTTTTGGCACGAATGGCCAAATGGTGCTTTCCATGGTACTTAAATGTGCAAGACAGTCTGGCTGTAGACCTCCACTGGCTCTTCTTTATCAGGCTCCACTGTCAGGCCGTAAAGTGCCGCAATAGCATTTTACAGCGCAGTTCCTTATTTCCGTCATGCCAAGGGATTCTCCGAGGCTGCAGGGGGATATTATTGAATGGATCGAGCCTGACAGTGGAGGTCTGCAGTCAGACCCCTCTCGAAATGAGGATTACATTCTTGCATGTTTAGTTTAGTTTTGTAGTCTATGTCCGCATGAGGAAAGCACGATAAACCATGAGTAGAAATATCTTACTAGGCTAAATTCATGCAGCTCCATAATTCCTGATTTATTTAGGTTACTACAAACTTCTCAATTTCATTCCCTCTGATTTCATTCACAAATCGCACCCTGGTTAGCCTACTATAAAACCTTTTACAAATGTATTTAAACTGCTGAGCTTAGAGCCTGATGGAAAATGTTCAAACTCAACCTAATTGAAACTTGAAAACAGTGACCAATTATGTATTAAACTGACCATGTCATTGCAGACCAGTGTAGCTGTCCAAACGAGACGAATGTACTAGCCTATTACGTGCCTGTTTTCCCGCAAAAAACTAGAGGTCTGTCATGTACGCGGGAAGGGGTTGCTGAGGGGGCTGCAGCACCCCCATCTGTTGGCGGAAAGTTGTAACTGTAACACCAAACGCACGCTACACTTGCATCCCCCGCACCCCCAAATGCGGCGCACCTACAGTGTAATCGCGCCACAGTTTCGCCGCAGCGACGCTCCACTAGCAACTTACTTACTAGTGAATACATCAGGACCTGGTCCACCGGTCCAGGGTCCTGGACCAGTGGTCCTGGTCTGGACCACTTTCACAAATAGAATAAAGGTTTCACAAATCTGAAACTTTGTTATAAAGAATGTTTAGCCTCTCTGGGATAATCCAGTCCAGATTTGATGAGTCTAGGTATAGTGGTTTTAGATCAGGACCTGGTCTAATGTGGCCAGGATGCGAAAAAGCACTGAAATCTCCCTTTTTTGTATTTTCACAAAAAGAATTA